GATCAAGGGTCTGGAGAACAAGCCCTATGAGGAGCGGCTTAAGGAGCTGGGCATGTTTAGCCTGAAGAAGAGAAGGCTGAGAGGAGATATGATGAGCGCCATCAGGGAGGAGGGAGCAAGCTTCCTTTCTGCTTCCCTGGAGACTAGGATGCAAATCAATGGCTTCCAACTGAAGTCAATACGGACTTTAGGAGGGTCTCCCCAGTAAAGGAGACCCCTAGGACCAAAAGAGAGCCCATGACCTTGGCGAGCTGTCAGAGAAGCCTGATTCCAGCAATTTTATTAATATTAATAATTGAAATGAGACTCCACCTGAACATGAGGAAGAACTTCCTGACTGTGAAAGCCGTTCAGCAGTGGAACTCTCTGCCCCGGAGCGTGGTGGAGGCTCCTTCTTTGGAAGCTTTTAAACAGAGGCTGTATGGCCATCTGTCGGGGGTGATTTGAATGCAATCTTCCTGCTTCTTGGCAGAATGGGGTTGGCCTGGATGATGGCCCAGGAGTTGGTCTCTTCCAACTCTTGGATTCTAGGATTCTATGAGTCTATGATTCTAAGGCGTTGATTTCCCCCCAGCTGTGTTAGGAACGGGCTACCTTGCATTGGCCAGGTGTGCATCAGGGCGAGGCGTGGCACCTGGCAGTGACCGCACTTGGAGGACAAGCCCGGGGGAGGAACTTCCGTCTTGGGATTCTCTCTCCCAGATGGCGTCCCCAGCCAGGAGCAACCTGGGAGTTGTGTGAAGAGGCAGGACAGGCCTCCCTGGAGAGGGGGATGATGGGACTCCGGGCACAGAGTTACACCAAAGGACCTAGCTCAGGCATGGGCCAACTTGGGCCCTCCCTCCAGGCATCTGGGATGTCAACCCTCGCCATTTCCACCATTCAGGTTATGCAGCTGATGGGGGAAACGAAAGGGCCTGAGGCCGTTGGGAATGGTGGGAGTTGAAGTCCAAAACTCCTGGAGGGAAGGCCAGCCTTGGCCCATGCCTAGACTAAACGATGCTTTTCCAGGATCCCTGGTTGAGGTTGAGTCGGGCTTCCATTTGTTGAGTTTCCAGTATTGATCACAAGGCACATTCCAGACTCTGTGCTTGATTATTATGCAAACCAGAGAGGTGTGGAAAACATGATGCAAAATTCTGTGTGTGTTTCGAAAGCATTTGCAGACCGTTGTGTCTCTTTGGGGTTTAAATTAACTGTTGAGTTTGGATGCATCGCCCATACCTTGGGAAGTCTGACTTGACTGTGGAGGTCCACGTTCTGGTTACATCCCGTATAGGCTACTGCAACACACTCTACATAGGGTTGCCTTTGAAGACTGTTCAGAAGCTCCAAATGGTTCAAATGATCCAAATGGCAGCCAGATTGCTCACCAGAGCGGGGTCCAGGGAGCTCACCCCCACCCCCCCACCCCCCGTTACACCAGCTCCACTGGCTGCCAGCCTGCTTCTGAGCACCATTCTAAGTGTTGGCCTTAGCCTATAAAGCCCTTTAGCCAAGGATTGGGGTTAAAGGGCCTACTGGGAGTTGTAGTCCCCAGGGAGTTGGAATAGAAGGGAGATTCTGGCCCATTGGGGATGCCCACTCTACCTGTTGGAACATATCTCCCCCTACGAACCAGCTTGGCGACTAAGATTGTCTGGGGAGGCTCTCCTCTCAGTCCCACCTTCTCTGCAGGCATGGTCCCTCAGTGGTGGCCCCTCGGCTGTGAAACTCCCTCCCCAGCAAGATCAGATCAGCCTCCTCCCTATTAGCCTTCAGGAGGAGAGTGAAAACCTGGCTCTGGGAGCAGGCTTTCGGAAATTAGGGCAGTGCCGTAATCTTATGCACCCAGGTAAAGAGATGCGGATCATAGAGACCTAGAGTTGGAAGGGACCTCTAAGGGCCATCTAGTCCAACCCCCTTCTGCTTTCATCGAGGATGGGCAAATTCAAAGCTCCCTCAACAGATGACCATCCAGCTTCTCTTTGAAAGCCCCCAAAGAAGGAGCCTCCTCCACTCCTGGGTTGACTATGCGGCCTCGCCACCATTTTCCAGACTCTTCTGCCTTTTCTTTCTACCTATGAGGATGCACATTTTGCCTCTTTCTAGGCAAAATGTAGCTGCATGGACTTTTTAACGTTTACGTCCTTTAGAAGAAGAGACTAAGCGAGTGACCTTTTCTGTCCAGAATGTAATTCTCTTACTTCAAAACATATTTTTGAACCTAAAGTTCTGACTCTGCAATCCTGATCCATCCGAAGATATAGAAGCTTATCCCAGCTCATCACGTGTGAGTTTCTGCTGGTGATGAAGTTTATTTCTGGCAGTTTTCTATATTGATGTTGGAGTCGTCCCAACTGAGGGTTATTTTTGAGCCTAACAGCTCAGGTTCCCCAACAGTTTTCAAACTGTTGTCGAGCAATTTAGTATGGCTGTGGATTAGACCCAAGCCATTGTGGGTTGCCTAGTGAGAAGAGAAGCCAATATTGCAAAATAAAGCTCACCAAATTGAAGCAGAAGCCACCGAGATGTTTATTTCATTCCAGCTGGAAAGGATGACGATTGCACTAATTCTGCCAAATAAATCGACATGTCTGCTAGGCAGGTAAATACAGAATATATAGATTTCAGATTCAAAAGTTTCCATGCCCACCCCCTGAGCCAGCTTCGTTGTGATTGGCTGTGACATTGGCAAGCCAGCAGGAAAGCCAATGGTGGCCTGAGTCCTGCTTTGGCCTCTCAGCCAATGGGGTGGAAGGGAGGCGGGCAACAGGAAAACAATGAAGAAATGTCTAGTTGACTGGTTTAGATGACTATTTATTTATTTATTTATTTGGAGTGCTTCTACCACGCCCTTCTCAACCCCCTGGGGGGCACTCAGGGCGGCTTACAAAAGGCACAATTCGATGCCCAACAATTCACAAAATACAATATACAATTTACAATATAACGACAACAGTTATAACTAATTAAAACAGTCAAATTAAAACAACAGCAGCAGTAAAATCATCTTGTGGTCAACGTTCGTCAATTCATAAATCCATAATCCATCCACCATTGTAATTGTCCTTTCCTACTCCGGTCGTCATTGTCTTTTATCTATCTGCCAGCTTACCCAAAGGCCTGGTCCCATATCCAGGTCTTTAGCTTCCTTCTGAAAGAGAGGAGGGATGTTGATGACCTAATTTCCCCAGGAAGTGAATTCCACAGGCGAGGGGCCACCACCGAGAAGGCCCTGTCCCTCGTCCCCGCCAGTCTCACTTGTGATAAAGGCGGGCCGAGAGCAGGGCCTCCCCCGAAGATCTTAAACTCCGAGATGGAAAGTAGAAGGAGATACGTTCGGACAGGTATGCTGGGCCAGAGCCGTATAGGGTTTTGTAGGTCAAAACCAGCACTTTGAATTGTTTGCAAAATGGCCCAGCGATTGCGTAAGCCCTCAAGCTGGCCGGGGTTTATTGTTTAAGTTCCTTGGAATCATCCTCTGTAGTCTGGCCCAAATGGCCGGGTTCTTTGTTTTATCATCCAGAGATACGGGGTGCGTTGATGAACTTTGGAACTGGTTTCGACCAGCAGGGCTGACATAATGGAAGAAGCTGTAGTAAAATCCTAATTCCTCGCAGACAGGAAATCATCTTTGGTGTTGGTGGATCAAGATGCCCAGAGGTCTTCTCTCCAGATGGACTAGCCTTGTGCCCTCCGAGATTGATAAGAACCATTTGTTCTATTGTCCATGCAAATGGGTGTGGTGGAACTTTTTTAGGGGATTAGTAGCTCAGGAAGCATGAGGGGACTTCCTGAGCTAGGTGAGTTGCTGGATCTTGAAAACAGTGGCTTTTCCTTCATATTTCATAAATATAGACATACACACATATAATGGGGAAAGGGAACATCATAAGGGACAAACCAGGCAAGGTCAAGGGAGCCCTGTCAGCCCTCCCTCCCTCCACAGTCCACCAAAAGTTCATATAGATCAGTGAAATATCATAAAAGTTCATAAGGGTTTGGTATATGAACCAGCTAGGACACTAAGATCATCTGGGGAGGCCCTGCTCTCGGTCCCGTTGGCCTCACAAGCATGCCTGGCGGGGACGAGAGACAGGGCCTTCTCAGTGGTGGCCCCTCGGCTGTGGAACGCCCTTCCTACAGATATCAGATCGGCCCCCTCCTTATTGGCATTTTGGAGGAAAGTAAAGGTTGTTCGAACAGGCATTCGATTAGGCAGTGTAATTGATTACAGGAACATGGAATAACGGATGATGAGATTGGATTCTGATTCTATTGACGAGACGCGAATGATTTGTCATATTGATGTTTAGTTGTTGTTATGCTATTGTTTTTAAATGTTCCAATGGTTTTGTAATGTGTGCATTGAAATTGCTGCTGTTAACCGCTTTGAGTCGCCTAAGGGCTGAGAAAAGCGGTAGATAAGTGAAGTAAATAAATAAATAAATAAATAAAGGGTCCATAAGAGTTCCAAAGTCCATGAAAAGTTGCTTAAGGTTTCTAAAAGTTCATAGAGAAGTCCATAAAGTGTGGATTACAGGGGCCTTGCCATGTGGGGCCATGGAAAGAGTCTTAGGTTCCCACATGGGGGAGAGATAAGGGATTATGGGATCATTCCAACCTGGTGTCCTTGGTAAAACTATGAATTCCTTGGTTTTGAACCATCTTTTCCATAGTCCTGGGGGGGGGGAGGGGGCGGGGTCACCTCCAATATCAAAACTATAGTCTGAAAACCCAACAGTCGGAGGGACTGTGAACCGGCTCTCAAAAGTTTGAGGAGGCCTGCTTGGAGTTTGGGGGTGTAAGCCTCTTGGAGGATGGGAGTTGTAGTCCAACATGCATCAGGGCGCTGTGGAAGCGTGGGTTTGGGAAGCATGAAGGGGAGCCTTCCATCTGCAAAGGGGCAACCCCCTTCTTCCCCCCTCCCTCCTCCCCCCTTTCTGGAAACGCCTGGCTGGCCGCTAATCCCGGCTAATTGCCCCTCCTTGACCTCTGCCCACTCCTTTCTCCTGCAGGTGTTTGAGGGCACCTCTGGGATCGATGCGCAGAAGACCTCTTGCGAGTTCACGGGGGACATCCTCCGCACCCCGGTTTCCGAGGACATGCTGGGTATGTGTGTCCCCCCTCCCCCACATTAAAGCCCCTTTCTCACTGCATTTGCCAAGACAAAGGCCAGAGGGAAGGAGGGAGGGAGGGAGGGTTGGGAGGAAGCCCAGCTGCCATGGGTTCCAAGGAAAAGGCGCCCAGAGCACAACCATCCCAGGCCTGGCCCATGCTCAGGGCGCATTGTCTACACTGCCCAGCATAGGATGCAGTTTGACCCCACTTGAACTGCCCTGGATCAGTGCTATGGACTCCTGGGGGGTGTCGTTGGGTGAATCACCATTGGCAGAGGAGGTGGAAGGCCTTGTCCAATGACCAAAACAGCTTTTGGAGGAATTATGGTCTTTGGAAAGGTTAGAAATCATAACCTTTTGGAAAAACAATGCCATAACCTTTTGGGAAAACCAGGAATTTCCCTTAAAACATCTTGGTTTAAATCATGCTCTCAAGAGACAAAAATGAGCAGACTTCTTTGAAAGTAGCATAGGGTTGGTTTACTCACAGACTTCATGTATTCAGCATACAGGGACAATGCTTTTCAGGCCAGTTACAGATAGGATTAGAAGGGCATCTTTCTTATGATCAACAATCTAAAGCAGGCATGGGCCCTCCAGGTGTTTTGGACTTCAACTCCCACAATTCCCAACAGCCAGGGGGAAAAGGGAAGGGCCTGAGGCCGGGAATGGTGGGAGTTGAAGTCCGAAACACCCGGAGGGAAGGCTGAAGTTGGCCTAGACCTTGCAAGACTACAACTCCTAGGCTCTTTTAGCATTGAGCCTTGGCAACTGAAAGGGTGGCAAACTGCATTCTTGTCCAGCAGAGTCGATGGAGGCCTTGCCTTCTTCTTTGTGCAGGTGTTTTGATTCAGCCGAGGCGCCTCTTTCCTTCTTTCCTTCCTTCCTTTCTGTCTTACTTTCTTTCTTTCGTTCTTTCTTTCTTTCTTTCTTCCTCCTGGGCTTCAGTGATGTGTGTCTAAGGCAAGCGGAGCGCCTGTCGTGGCGAATCCCAAGGTTACTGGCCTTTCATGGTCGGTGGCTCCTGCTCCCCTTCTCCATCACGGCATTGATCTTCATCCGCTGTGACAACAAGGACAAGGCTTCGCCGCCCTCCCCCTCCCCACCCCCCACCCCCCACCCAAAAGGAAAGGACCGGAAGGAAAGAAGGAAGGGGGCCGCCATGGCCGAAGCATAGGTGGTGGTGGTGGTGGTGGGAAGAGGTTGCGAGTGCAGCTGTATTGATCCACTCCTGGTAATGGCCAATAACCAATCTATAAGGCAAGAAGGGAGAGGGAGGCAGAGATGGAGCTCTTTGCTGGAAAGGTCAATTTGGCCTCCCAAGGAAGGAAGGAAGGAAGGAAGGAAGGAAGGAAGGAAGGAAGGAAGGAAGAAGGGCTCGCGTGGGGAAGGAGGCGCTTTTGGGGAATAGCAGCTCCCAGAATCCACCTCGGCAGCATGGCTTTTGTCCTGAGTTGCCCTGAGTTTAGACAATTTTGAAAAGAAAATGCTTTACTTCAGCAAACACAAAGGATAAGCAAATGCAATTGAAAAGTGCAAAGGAAAGCAAGGAAGTTTTAATCCAAACACAAATTAAATTCCATCTGAACATGAGGAAGAACTTCCTGACTGTGAGAGCCGTTCAGCAGTGGAACTCTCTGCCCCGGAGTGTGGTGGAGGCTCCTTCTTTGGAAGCTTTGAAACAGAGGCTGGATGGCCATCTGTCAGGGTGATTTGAATGCAATATTCCTGCTTCTTGGCAGAATGGGGTTGGACTGGATGATGGCCCATGAGCAGGGGCGGCTCGTCCATTGCGCAAAGTAAGCGGTCGCAGAACACTTTTTTTTTGCCAGGGGCGCAGAGGTGCCTCTGTAAATGCCCCTCAACTGCCACTTGAGGAGCGCCCCCTCAGCTCACAACAGCCCTAGCAGTCCGGGGGGAGCCTCGGCTTTCTTGCCTCGCTGCCGGGCGATCTTCTTCCCAAAGGGGCCGGGCCCTTGAGCCTCGCCTCGCCCCTCTCGTTCCTGCTCCACCCGGCCACCGGATGCGCGAGCAGAGCCAGTGCTCAATTGTTCTCTGCGTTCGATCCCTTCCCCATGACCGGCTCCCTTTCCCGATCCCCCGGCGCTCCACCCGCCTCCTCTCCTCTCCCCAATCCGCGGGTGGGCCAAGGGGCGGAGCTCGCGCCTGGCCCACTTCGGGTCCGGAGGCGTGTCTGAAGACCCCAGCGTGTGCACCAAAAGTCGCCTCTTCTCCTGACTTTCTCTTCAGCCATTGGGACCAGAGAGAGAGAGAGAGAGAGAGAGAGAGCCCCTCCGGCTGGAGGTATCTCCCACCTCCGCTCCCTCCTTTGTTTTTGCGCCTACCTTCAGGAAAGGTGGGCATCTCTGTCTCTCTCTCTCTCTCTCTTGGTCCCAATGGCTGAGGAGAAAGTCAGGAGAAGAGGTGACTTTTGGTGCACACGCCGGGGTTTTCAGGCACGCCTCCAGACCCAAAGCGGGCCAGGCAAGGGAGCAATTGCGGCAAGTGTAGTTACTGGGATGTATAGTTCACCTACAATCAAAGAGCATTCTGAACTCCACCAATGATGGAATTGAACCAAATATGGCACACAGAACTCCCACGACGAACAGAAAATATATATCAATGATTGGTTGGGGGGGGGGGGGTCGCCAAAATACTGTTTGCTTACCATTGAAAATTACCTAGGGCCGCCTCTGACCATGAGGTCTCTTCCAACGCTTAGATTCTATGATTCTATGATTCTTACGAAATCCCAAAAGAAATACCCGTCTTCCATCAGACAACGGAGGATGAACTAAGTTCTTAGCAGCAGACACAAAGCAGATTCCATTGGAGTGAAAACATCAGTATCAGGGTTGTTGTTACCAGCGGAAGCTGACTGCTCCTGCCTCTGATTTATAGCCCTGAATTCCCCATGCAGGAGGTGCTAGGGAGTCTCCCAATTAGCTCAGCGTTTTTAGCAGCTATCCTACCTGAACCTAAAAGAGAATTGTAAGATAGCTTGCTTTGTAAAACGAGTTTTAAAAAGGGGGGTGCTGTGAATTTTCTGGGCTGCCTGGTCATGTTCCAGAAGCATTCTCTCCTGATGTTTCCAGAGGATGCCTGCCATAGATGTGGGCAAAACGCCAGGAGAGAATGCTTCTGGAACATGGCCAGGCAGCCTGAAAAAATCAGAGCAACCCAGTGATTCCAGCCATGAAAGCCTTTGACAACAGAGTCAAAAAAGCTTACTTAACGATTGACCACAGCACCCCCTTGGCATGCAAAGAAACATAATATACTCCGTATGCCAGAAAACAAAAGACTCCACATCAACTGGTTGACGTAATTAAAACAGTTTACACATGAAAAGATGTGTAAAAAGGATCACACAGGTGTGAAGCTTAATTTTATTGCAGTCCATCAAAGGTATAATCCAGAGACAGATGGTAAAAGGATATATTTCTCTAGCTTGAGCGTCGGCCTGAGGGGTCAGGGCTATGCTCCATGCAAGCTCCAGAACTGGAACCTTGATGGTCCCTCTTCTGAGGAACTTCTTCCGAGATGACTAGCTGGGGAACAAAGGGGAGCGCCTCTCTTTGGTCACCTTGGACTTCCAAAGGACTCTGCACGTGATCAGCGGCACCAGCACTCCCTTTCTAGAAGGTGCCCGAAGCCCCACGCCAATGTTAATTGAGGACACCCTAAAACTAACAGGGAGGGAGGGAGGTCAAGACAGACAACATGGAGACAAGAGAACCATTGCAATGTGCATGCAAGATGGTTAGTTTCCCAACAGGAAGAGCTTTTCCTGACACTTGGGGGGAATTTGGAATTATTGCACTTTGGAACACAGTTTTTGTCCCTGGGTTATAAATGTCATTTCCTAATTGGTGAAGTCTATGGAACATTTTGTGATAGCCTTGAGACTCATCATTGAGTCTCAACCAATTCAACCTAGTTTGTGGCACAAAAAGTTCAACCTAGTTTGTGGCACAAAAAAGAAGGAGCACACCATTAAGCAGGAATAACAGTTTCAAACCAGGAACAGAAAGTGTTTCCAATGTTGCTACATAGTGTTCTCCTCCTCCTCCTCCTCCTCCTCATTATGGAATGTCTATCTTCGCCCAGATTGGGATAAATACCTTGGAAATGGGACCCATTGATTGCTGTTTCATATGCATGTTCTATGCATGGCCTGGAGGTCATTTTGCAGGCCCTATTTTTGCAGGCCCTGACCCCTATTTCCTGACCCCTCTGCCCCATAGTGACTGGATTGACCTTGAAGGATCTGGGGGTGGTGACGGCCGACAGGGAGCTCTGCCGTGGGCTGGTCCATGAGGTCATGAAGAGTCGGAAATGACTGAATACATGAATAACAACAATGGCCCCATAGGCTGCCTTTCACCACATTTTCTGACCCCGTGAACTAATGCTGTCCCCTGCTTGCCCCCCCCCCTCCGCCCTGTGCAGGTCGCGTCTTCAACGGTTCCGCCAAGCCGATTGACCGGGGGCCAGTCGTGATGGCCGAGGACTACCTGGACATCAATGGTGAGCCTCCCGCCTCCCTTTGCAGCGGATGCAGGAGAGAGCAGGGAATGCCACATCCCTTCGGGTTGCCATCTTGCCCCATTTTCAGCCCCAGTGGCTTCCAAAATTCCCCAGTGGGTTGTCTGCTTTGAGGGATCCAGGCAGAGACGTACGAGTAAGTATTTCTCAGAGACTTGAGTCCTTTCCTGCACTCCAGATAAAGTAACTTTTCCCAACTCGGCATGCAGACCAAGCAGAGAACGGCCCAGCTGAGCAACCAACCCATTTTGCCAAGACTCAAGGCAGCCAAAGTCATCCATAAACAGGGACTCTTCCTAAAATTCTGGGCCTTACAATCTCCCACCCAAGACAGTGGATGATGGGAACTAGGGGATAAAGGCATAAAATCATATGAAGGGGCATCTAAAGGTCATCCAGTTCAATCCACTTCTGCCAGGCAGGAAAACACCATCTGATCCCTCCTGACAGATGGCCATCCAGGTGACTGCATTCCCATTTCATGCCCCCTTTCCTCCCTCCCTCATCCAGGGCAGCCCATTAACCCCCACGGGCGCATCTACCCCGAGGAGATGATCCAGACCGGGATTTCCCCCATCGACGTCATGAACAGCATCGCCAGGGGACAGAAGATCCCCATCTTCTCCGCTGCGGGGCTCCCCCACAACGAGGTGAGTCATGTGCCAGAACGAAAAACCACGCATAGTTCATTCACGTCTTTACCAAACCACACAGATGATCAGTAAAGAACAAGGAGTTTACTCTTCGTAATGCAGAGCAACATATATACAGTCGTGAGACTCACACGATGTCCTTTGAGAGAGATTCAAATGGTGTTTCAGTGTCCATGTGGAAGATCTTCTTCCAGCAGCTCATAAAGCAAGAACTCTCTCTCTCTCTCTGTAAGCTCCTGCATAGTTAAAGCCTAAATATGTAACTGTTGCCAAAACTCCCAGGCTCAGCTAGCTTCTTAGGCACAGCCCAACCAATCAGCTTCGTGCTTTGCATTTTCAGTTTACACACTCACCAACTGATTTTGTATGTGCTCCAACACGCCATGCAATGTACATCTATACACACATACATACACACATATAGTCTTCTTCCAGTGCAGAGAGGAGAATACAATAGACTCTCAGTTAACCAGAATTCTCAGTTAACCAGCAAAAGCTTTTAATGATTGCATGAAACCAATATAGGGTTGATGGTGTGCGATAGGATAGGCAATAGCATGAGTGAGGTCTGTTTTTAGGAGTAACTCTCAAGCAACCAGAAACTCCCATTTATCCGGAATCAAACAACAATCCCCATCAAGGCCATGGTTCCACTGAGAGTCTACTTAAGTGGCAGAGGGGGGATAGGAAAGGGCCTGAGGATGTCAGGAATGGTGGGAGTACAAAACCCCTGAAAGGCCCAAGTTTGGGACCCGCCTACCTGCGTGACCGCATCTATGTTTACGAACCCACAAGATCTCTTTGATCATCTGGAGAGGCCTTGCTCGCGATCCCACCTACATTGCAAGCACGATTGGTGGGGACGAGGGACAGGGCCTTCTCGGTGGTGGCCCTTCGACTCTGGAACTCTCTCCCTAAGGACATCAGGCATGCCCCAACGTTGGCAATTTTTAGGAGGAGCTTGAAAACGTGGTTGTTCCAGTGTGCCTTCCCAGAATAAGGAAACTCCAAGCAATATGTCCCCAAATGCACTTTACTAGAGACCCAGGATATCTGCATGCCCCATCCCCCTCCAAATACCTACCCTTTTCACCTGGTCATGCCCAGCATATTTTTTAATTGTAACTATTACATTTGGCCCTGCCATAGATTTTAATGCGTCGTGGTGTTTGTTAATGTTTATTGCTTTGTTTTGATTTCATTTTTTGTATTGCTGTTGTTGTTGTTTTTACTGATGTATTTGGGCTCGGCCTCATGTAAGCCGCACTGAGTCCTCCGGGAGATGGTAGCGGGGTACAAATAAAGGTTTATTATTGTTGTTGTTGTTGTTGTTGTGGTTGTTGTTATATAAGTTGGCCCAGGCCTGGCCTGTTGTATTTCTTTCAGATGCTCCACTTGAACTGCCACGGCTCCATTATGTGGGATCCTGGGAGTTGTAGTTTAGCAAGGGCGCCTTTCAGAAAAGGTGCTGGTTCCTCACCCAACTACAAATCCCAGGACTCCATAGCACTGAGCCATGGCTGTTCAAGTGCAGCCAGACCGCATTCATTCTGCAGTGGAGATGCCTCCTTGGTCTCTCTTCTTGGCAGCCGTTGACAACAACAACAACAACAACAACAACAACATAAAGGCCAGAGGTTGGCTCTTGTCCTTCGGCACATCCAGACTCCGTAGAGCAGTGGTTCTCAACCTTCCTAATGCCGTGACCCCTTAATACAGTTCCTCATGTCGTGGTGAACCCCAACCATAACATTGTTTTTGTTGCTACTTCATAACAGTCATTTTACTACTGTTATAAATCATAATGTAAATATCAGATATGCAAGATGTATTTTCATTCACTGGACCAAACTGGGCACAAATACCCAATGCACCCACATGTAAATGCTAGTGGGGTTGAGGGAGGATTGATTTTGTAATTTGGGAGTTGTAGTTGCTGGGATTTATAGTTCACCTATAACCAAAGAGCATTCTGAACTCCACCAGCAATGGATTTGAACCTAATTTGCCACACAGAACTCCCATGGCCAACGGAAAACACTGGAAGGGTTTGGTGGGTATTGACCTTGAGTTTGGGAGTTGTAGTTCACCTATATCCAGAGAGCACTGTGGACTCACACAATGGTGGATCTGGACCAAACTTGGCACAAATACTCAATATGCGCAAATGTGAACACTGGTGGAGCCTGGGGAAAATAGACCTTGACTTTGGGAGTTGT